AAGAAATAGTTGACGGTCAACAATGCATCATCAAAAATAGAAAAAATTAAGAATTCAATTTACCGAATTACCTATTACCGACGAGAAGAAATGGCCATCATCACCAATCAAGGCATTGCAGATGAACCAACCAAAGCAGAGCAGCAGAAATATTGCATGAGCCGGCGTAGAAGGAAACTTGACAGATAATAGAATGGGAGTCTGTCGGAATTCTGGAGTTAAGCTGCAGGAATGGCGATGGGCTCGGTGGCCTTCTTGAGCCAAGCCATCTCCTGATGGTTTAGGTAGGGAGAAAGAAGCAGCAGGCAAGTGGAATGATAGGAATTCACCCAGGATATCTCGTCAGCTGTCATCAACTTTAGATCCATAAGCTTTTTCTGGTATGGCGCCTGTTTTTAAAATGGGACAGTTATAGTAATTAATTGGAAGAATTACATACATAAACTTGATTCCTATGTATTTACAAATCTAATACCTAAATTTTAATTTTTAAATATACACCACCTTCCTTACCAATGCATGAAAAGATGTTTTAATTTCATTTTTGTTAAAGTTAAAATAATGATATTTTTAATGCGATATGAAAGACTTGGGTGATAGAAATGTAAAAAGTAAGAGTTTAGGTGGTAGAATGTAAATACGTAGGAATTGGGTGCTGTGTATGTAAAAGCCCCGAAAGAGATGTAAAGCAATACAGAGTCATTCAAGCACACCAAGCATATAATGGTACTTGAGTTTCAACAACACAATATTCTAGCTTAAATTATTCAGGATTTGATACTCCAAATAAAATGCCCCAATCATGTACTATAAAAAAAAAAAAAAAAGGCAGCCAGCCCTATTCAAAATATTTTTCATGCACAATCCATGACCAAAAACAAATGAAATCAAATTAATAGCCTGAGCACGAATCCAACCATTATTAATCTTATACTTGAAAAAGTAGCTTCTTTCAGCTTCTTTAAATTTATTTGTAAATAGAGACAATACACAAGGCCTTAACTTTCTATAATAGATATTAAGAGTGAAAAAAAACTTCCTTTCTTCTTCTTTACTAATTGAAATCATATGCTAAATACTTATAGACACTCATCTATCTATAGATTAGGAATATACCTAATATAAAAGATCTGAATACATGTACTCTAATTAGATTACCTATTATACAAGCTTCCTATTTAGTATTTTTCATAACACTCCCCGTCAAGCTGGACCATAGATATTGATCATGCCCAACTTGTTACTAATATAGGCGACTCTTGCTCCATTAAGCGTTTTTATGAAGATCTCCTAGTTGTTCCTAGTCTTTACATGAGCTCATACCGATCAAATTATGTTGATTATTTTCGAAAACAAAATGACAAACTATCTTAATGCACTTTATTCGTTCATAGAAGATAAGGTTAGAACCAATATGAATTTCAACTTCGTTATCACACAATTGCTAGAGTAGTCATCATAAAACCCATTTTGGTTAGGAATTGAAAAACCCACATCAATTCAATCGAAGTTTGTGTCATTACTCGATACTTCGATTCAACACCTGACTGTGATACTAAATTATATTTTTTACTCTTCCATGAGAGCAAATTACCACCAATAAAGACACAATATCTAGTAATAGATCTTCGATCAATCTTGGAGCTTGCCAAATCTACATAAGAGAAACATTCAATATTTTTATGCTCATGATTCTGATATAAAATACATTGTCCAGGACTTCCCTTGAGGTAACATAATATTTGATTCAAAACTGACCAATGATGGATTGTGAGGGAAGTGTTGAAAATTGCATAGGGTCCTACTAGTAAAAAAAAAATATTGAAGAAGTCTAGGGATTTATTTCTAAAACATTATAATACCCTATTTAAGCCCATTACAAATTAGGTATTGCAAAATTATTTCTTCTTAGTATCAAAGCCCAACCATCGCAGCCTGTTCGATTGCCAGGTTTCATCCTCGCAATACAGGCGCACCAACTTTCAAGTCATGGGATCGTGGGTTATAAATAACAACCCTTGCGATACAGTTGTTAATTGCTCGTGATACATTCACGCTAAATGAGAAAGCACGACATCACGACTCCTACATGAACCAGTGAGCAACAGGGATCACAAGATTACAGTCACAAACGACTCGTGATACATTCGCGCTAACTAGGAAGGCACTGGATCACAGCTCCTATGTGAACCAGTGAGCAACGGGATCAGACAAGGTATCGCGGTGACGATCGCAACATACAAATCGGGGCTTCCAAGGACTGAGACGTGATTGCAACATATAGATCACAACGTTCAGAGACCACGTCGCAATCTCAACGTACACAGGTAAAGGATTGAACTTGTGGGAAAGCCAGATCCTAAAGTCCATATAGTCTTGATCAGGCTCATATAAGGAGCTAGTATCTCGACAGAAGCAACTATCTTAGCACATGCTTCGATGTAGGTGAAACTAGATATTCATTTCGTGGATCTGAAGCTTGATGGACTAACCACGTATATGATTTGTTTGTGTCGGGTCGGGACTGCTCTAGTAAAGAAGAGACTAAAGGGATATATAACTGTGAAGAATCAAAGAGTGATAGTTTTAAGGGTTTTAGGTGGAGAACCACATATGCCTTAATTTACAGCTGGTTATTCAAATCGATGGTTGCACCATTAGTATATGGTATTCGAAAGGTGAGAGGCATTTGAGAAAAACTGAAGAAGATTTATGACAGGACAGAGAATCACATGAGGGTGTTATATATTTAACGTGAGATAGAACCAGTGGTACAAGATTATAAATCGATTCAGAAATATGTCGTAGAATTGGAGCGACTGTGGCAAATCTTGGTCATTTATCACCGATGTCCAACTGTGGTGATCCTGAGTGCAAGAAAAGGGAGAACTTTACACATATGAGAACTATGCAATTTTCAACCCATCTGAAATCGACTTTTGATCAGATGAGATCAGTCCTCCTAGCTCAGACGACTATCCTTTCACTGGATTAGGCCGTAATGATACAAGAAAAGAGTTATGAAGCTACACCTTGAGCCTCCGGTTGTGCGATAAACGTTGGCTGCCTCAAGCTTAGGTATGATAAGTGTCCACTCATAAATGCTACAACTGTGGTGAAATCGAAAATCTAAGCAAGGCCACTTAAGGAGAGAGATTAGTTAATGTAGATAGGGTGGAGGCCGTTGTGGCGGTCGTGGTGGTCGAAAAGGTAAAAAAGGGAGCTACCGGGCAAATCTGATGATAGCAGAGGAGGGAAAGACGTGATGCTCACTCTACAAAGGTACTTGTGATACACTTGCTCTTCTCTATTTCCACCATAGGACCATAGTAGATTATTGTGCATCTCGACATGTGACAAGTCCTGCTGGAGAGTTTTCTTCCTATACTTTTTTAGCGGTATTAGAGAGGATTCAGACTGCTGATGGAACAACATAGCCTATATTTGATAATGGTACAATGAGTACTAATTATACGACTTTATCCAATGTTTTGTATGCTTATTTTCCTGTGAACATTTTATCCATTAGTGTCAGTATTCTCCAACTAAAATGCATCAGTTTTTTTTTTTTAATATCTATAAGGTGAACTACTAAGAGAAAAGGATGGGTCATACACTTAGAACTGAAACATGGCGTAATAGATTCTTGTACTTAAACCAGAAGGGGATGGACTCGACATTGACAACTATGCTAGAGAGTGATGGAGTAGGAGAAATTGGGAGAAGTGTGGAGAATATGTTGTTACTACATCGCAGACGCATGAGACACTTTTATTTTAGTTTATTAAGTCGGTTGTATCATCCTATGTATGAAAAGACATAAATAAGACCTTGTTTGTGATGATTGTGACTTTGAAAAGCTTATCATGAGCTCTTATATCAGTTATGGGAATAAGAATTCTGGTGTTTTTGAATTGATTCATTCTGATGTTTGGGGATCTTGTTCTATAAGTTCTATGAATGATTATCAATATTTTGTGACTTTTATTGATTATTTTTTTAGTGTTGGTTATATTTGATGAAAAAATAAGTGTAATGTGTTTGCTTGCTTAAGGGCTTCCACAACGCAATCCAAATTCAATATGGTGCAGTAGTGAATGTATTGAGATATGATAATGAAACAAAATATACCAACAAAACATTTGGGTAATACTTGCCAGCCTAGAGGATACAACATCAAATCACATATTCATACACATCAACACGAAATAGAGTAACAGAGAAGAAGAATAGACACCTTCTAAAGGTTGCTAGAAGTATGATTGTCGCAATGAATGTTTCAAAGCACTTATGTGAGCAAGCAGCTTTAACAACTGCTCAATTGATCAACAGGATGTCATCGAGGGTGTTGGATTGGAAGTTTCATTGTCAAATGTTGAAAGTAGATAATAATAGAATCCTCCCATTAAAGATTTTTAGATGTGCATGTTTCATGAAGGATAATAGACTATTAGTAGAGAAGGTGGATCCCAGAGTTGTGAAATGTGTGTTCGTAGGCTATTCTGCTACCCATGAGGGGTATGTCTGCTGGAGCTAGATAGAGAAGAGACTATTTGTGGGCATGTATGTCTCATTTAGAGAATTTCAATCGTAATACACGTAGGAGGTGACATTACCCTTTGATGACTTGCCAAGTACTAAAGATATGAGCAAGGTAGGGTGAGTAGCAATGGTGAGAGACATACGTGTGAACAATGCTTTCCCCTGTGATGAGGTAGAATCAGTTGAGGAACTGAAAAATGAAGAGTGAGCCCATAGGTAGTAGGATTTATGCTGAAGGTGAACTAAGGGTGTATACATGAAAAAAAGAAGCAAAATGAGGGAACGGTGCCTGCAGTGTCACTTGTGTCAGGTAGTCTCTTATCCCGGTCTTCCCCGACTTTTGAGAAACCTACAACATCTACCTTCAACGTAGAACTCCCAAGCGAGATATGGTTCCTTCTCCTCCTAACCCCCCAACTTTAAGGAGAACCACACATTAAAGCGGAACATCCTCCTGATCGTTTTAGGAGGAAACATGACATCACTAATTTTGTTTCACATTCTAACATATCACATTTACATAGAACATTCATTGCATCTTTGGACACTGTCTCTATATACCCAAGTATTCGTTGGTTGTCAAGGAGAATTTCAAGTGAAAAACAGCCATGCATGAAGAGCTTAGGGCTCTTGATAAAAACCGAACATGGCAGATAGTGCCACTACTAGCAGAGAAAAAAATATTTGGGTGCAAAAATGGAACTTCACAGTGAAGCAAACTTCAACAAGAAAGATGGAGCGGTACAAGAAATGACTGGAGGCGAAAGGGAAAAATTAAACATGACATTAACTATGATGAAAACATTGCACTAGCAACAAAGATGAGCACAATGAGGACACTGGTTTC